GGTGTACGCCTCCCAGCTCGAGTCCACCGCCTACCAGTTCCCCCTGTTTGACGCCAAGCTGCTGCAGGAGGGCGGCCGGGTCTTGGTGGAGGTGCCGCTCGACGGCACGCAGGTGGGCAGCGGCGCGGCCGCGCGAGGCTGCGGACGGCCGCGCGCTGCGCGAGGCCGTCGCCGCGGCCCGGGCGTCGCCTCCAGGCGCTCGCAGGCGGGCCCTTGGCGCGGAGAGGGGCGTGGTGTACGGGCGCGGCGCCGTGACGCGGGGGAGCCCTCGCTGGTCTTCGCAGCGCCCTTCCGGTGCCGATCCAGCTTCTCTCCAGCAGTTTGCCCCAACCCCCCCCCCTTCTCCAACATGCCTACACCCTCAACATGCCTACACCCTCTGACTGCTTAGTACGACCTCGCTACGGGGGCCGTGGTCAAGTGGTGCCCTTCCGAGGGCAACGTGCTGCGCGGCTTCCTGGGGGCCCTCAAGAGCAAGCAGCCCGCGATCCCCCTCAAGGTGTGCGGCGGCGCGCGCCTGTGGTGGCGCAAGGGGTAGCGGAGGGTTAGCAGGGAGCGTGATGTGAGGCGGGCAGGCCGGGAGCCCGTCTGTCGATGATGGTTTGGGCCGCAAATGGTGACCGTCGAGACGCTTTGCGGCAGCTGCAGCAGCTAAACCCACCTGCTTGAATTGGGCCGGCAAGCAGGGTGAGGTTGCTGCCCTGCCTGTCACTTGTACATGTGTGACGTGCAAAACCCCCCCTCCCCGCACACACAACAGCAAACATGCCCACTCGTCCTCACTCGCACTCACTGCGCACGCGCCCGGCCACGTGCCTGGCCGACGCACGTGGTTCCTCAGGTGTACCCCGTGAGGGTGGCGACCGACGGCGCGGTCTCTGTGAAGCTTCTGTGATCAGTTCCCGAGCGCTGGACGAGAGGCCGCTCCGGCTGGGGCTCAGAAGCGGCTGGCTGCGGCCGCCTCTGCTTTTGATGCAGAAGCTTGCAATCGGCTCCACGTAGATTGCCTGTGCCTGCGGGGTTCCTGGACTCTTTCCATATATGCATCGTTACTGTGATGGACAGCGGATGAAGGGGAACACGCGTATAGAACCCACAGAAAGATTCCCTGCCGTGCCCGCGGCGGCGGCACTGGATCGGTGCGTGCGAGTTGCGTGCGCCCCATCAATTGCTTCCGCATACACGTCTGCAGCACCAAGAACTCAAGCGGGATGGATGAAGCAGTGAACACATGTAAAATTTTCATAATTCCAGCTTCAAGTGGCGGTGGCCCGTCTGCCTGGGGCCGACACACGGGCAAGCGCAGCTGGCAGATAGCAACTGCCACCACTTTTCCGCTTCCGATTGCCGGGGCGCGCAGGCCCATCGGCCCTCAGACAATGTGTGATAGACATAGTTGCGTGTTAGACACTCGTTTTATTTCAATCACTTCTTAGCTGGCGCCCGGCCTCGCGAGCTCATACCGCTCGCCCGTGCCTCCTCGCCACGCCGCTCGTTTCGGGCTCGAGGGTAGTCAACACTTCTTAAACTAGCTTAACAACACATTTAGGTGAGGATCTGGCAGCAACAATGCCACTTGAGGCTGTCCTGGCGAGCGCAGGCCCCGCGAGTGCCCTGCGGGGTGACATGCGTTCGCTGCAGGGGCGGTCAGGGACGTTCATGCAGCGCAAATGTGATCATTACACACTGTCTGAGCAAGGGCCCAGCGGGGCGGCGCACTGCGGCGTGGCCGCCGCGGGGAGGGGCGGGGGGTCTCGCCGGCAGATGTGTGATTCCTCCGACCAGGCACTTACCGCACCAATGCACCCCCCCTCCCCGTTGCTGCCTCCTCCCCGGAACAGGCAAACCACTGCTCATCCTCCGCCTCCTCCCCGTACCGACCCCCAAAGCTGGATCCCGTAGCCACCGCCGGCGCCGGCGAGGCGG